TTTCCCGCCCCCCCCCCCCCCCTCCCTGGTTTCTTCCATGAAAATTACAGTAAAGTATTTAAAAATCATCTCAAATCACCTTTTCGAGTTAGCGCCCCTTATCAGCACCCCCATTTCGAGACTTGATACGCCACTGGACACAGAAATTACCCATGGCTCACTCATTTTTTTCTCTTGTGGCCTCAAATGGAGTTAATAAGCCTATGAGCATACGCCCATATTGAAATATATATATATATATATCCCACATATTTCCATGATGTTGACCCACAACGAAAACTATCTGGGTCTGCCCATATTTAAAAAATATATATCCCAAATGTTTTGGCCCTGATATCGCCCATATATTATAACCCCTTAATTTGCCCACATGGGCCGACCCATGAATAGCCCAAATGGGTTCATCCATTTTTTGGTTCATGCTAAACCATTTGGGCCTGCCCACATTTTGAAAATATGTATCCCGAATGTTTCGGCCCTTATAGTACCAATATGTGATTGCTTATCCTTCATTCACATGGGTTGTCCCAGAAATAGCCCTTATTGGTCTGCCCAGTTTTTTCTTTTGTGGGCTCCATATTACCCATATGGCATTATGGCATGCCCGCACTTTTTAAATAACGTTCCCAAATGTGTTTGCCCACATAGTACCCATTAGTGACTGCCCCATACTTTTCCCACATGGGCTGACCTATAAACTTTCCAAACGTTTATGCCCATATTTTCCCCTTGTGGGCCCCAAACACACAAATTTACAAGGGACTGCCCTTTTCTTTCCCTCATGGGTGCCAAATGCCCTGACCCACATGTTACCCATATTGTTTCTCGATATATCACCCTTACGGGACCCATTCCATATGGTGTAGCCCATACAGGCCCCATAAGAGTTATGTGTGGTATGGGCCTGCCCACATGGCTCACATATTTATTAAGGGCCCCACAAACTTTGCTACCTGGGTATCAATAACAATCACTCATGACAATATTGTAAATAAACAGAAATTCCAGACAATCATTTGGGCACTAAAATCTACGTTGAACCTCTAATTAAAAAAATATAAAATATTTAAAAACTGGGGGAATAGGGGCGTAACTAACCTTTTTCTACCATTTCCCCAAGTTTTTAAATAAAAATTTGTGTTATCATTAACGCTTCCTTTTTCGTCATATGGCCTATGCTGTTTGTTTCTTACAAAATTTAGTTCTACAACCTATCAAACAATTGTTTTTCTCTGGAAATCTTGCTTTAAATCTGCTGCCAATGTACGCGTAAGATACACCATAGATTACAGTATTCTATTTTCTCTATGGATACACTAAGAAGAAATGTATATATTAATTCTGCTAATCGCCACCGCGTAACTTCCCCATCTCCTCTGAAACCGCTGCCAGGAATGTGTTCATATCTCATACACTGGGGCTTCTATATGTCACGACCACATTCCGCTACTTTAAGGCTTGATATTGGATAACAACGAAAAAACAACCAAAAACAGCCAAAATCAGTACAGTACCTGTTTCGCCATGTTTCACAAGTTGCTAATGTCACGTAATAATCACATCAATTCGAAAATGCAATGCTTAGGTCTAAATGCTAAATGATTAGGTTTTAGGTCTAACGTCTCGACGAGATTTGATTGACAGATAAACCGACTAATCAGCGAGCGTCTTTTTCTCGGACAGTTTAATTTCCTTAGACAGCTGATTGTCAACGCGAAACATACGTGGGCCTAAATGTCTGTGCTTGGTTATAGATACCCAGACTTACACGAGCAGTGCGCATCAGTGACTTGGCCTTTGCCGACAACGAGGTTGACTGAATTCGGCTTTTCCCTCTTCCTTTGGGATCGACAAACAGAGGCTTTAACAACAATTTCCCCGCCTGTTCTATGAAATAGATTAACACTATGAATATATGATTCATTTGCATCCCCGCCTACCCTGAATTCTCTTTCTTAAAGAAGGTTGATAGCAAAGAAAATGTCTAGCCGCCATTGTCTAAGGTTTTCTTGACTCTGTGGGTGGGGCTTCGCGTCCTTGTCGACATGTTGACATCGAGTCAGGCCGTAAAAGAACCAGTCTATGTCTCGCAGCTTCATTACGCAGGGCCGGCGGAACGTTGTTCAAAGTTGGGGGGGGGGCACTTATAAGATGAATGGGAATATGAATCATGCAGATCTCGAATCAAACCTAGGTGGGGTGGGGTCAACATTCCTCCCCCTGGAAAATTTTGATTTCTAGATGGCGGGAAATGACCTTTCTCGACTTTTGAGCTAGGTGTCTCCTGACTTTGTTCTTCAAAATTCCAGGGTTTCCCCATTGAAAACGGTAAGGTAAACTTTCTCATTACCGTAAATAGGCCTGTTATGTGTGTATACATTTATTTATTTATTTAATGAGTAGTTGCATACGTATTCTTTTTTCAATGAATCGATAAGCTCCAAAGGAAAAGGGGGGTCCGGGTGTTCTCCCCCGGGAAAATGTTGATTCCTATAGATGGCGGAAAATGAGCTTTTTCCCGACTTCTGAGGTGTCTTAATTACTTCAAAATTCAAGGTTTCCCCTCTTGAAAACGGTCAGTGTAATTTTTTCCCATTGTTATTACAGTAAATATGTGTGTATACATACATAATTTTTTTTTTTTTAAATGAGTAGTTGCATACGAATTTTCCATGAATCGATGAAAGCCAAAAAGAGAGGGGGATTCTCCCCCGGGAAAATTTTGATTCCTAGAAGGCGGGAAATGAGTTTTCCCGACTTCTGAGGTGTCTTTTAATCACTTTTAAGTTCTTCAAAATTCAAGGTTTTCCCCTCTTTAAAATTA